GCAAGCAAGCAAGCAAGCAAGCAAGCAAGCAAGCAAGCAAGCAAGCACGCAAGCACGCACGCACGCACGCACGCACGCCCGCCCGCCCGCCCGCCCGCCCGCAAGCAAGCCAGCAAGCAAGCAAGCAAGCAAACAAACAAACAAACAAACAAACACATACACTGATGCACACTGACTACTGTGTACGCACGAGATCGAAGCGTGCGAGGGGTAGAGCCACCATGGTAGAGCTCCGCTTTTTTTCGGCCGAAGGTGGACTTCCAAGCGCGGGGCTTCACCTTGAAGCTTGGACTTTATGGGACATGATGCAACAATTTTCAATCGAGAAATCAATGAGTTTGTACGGGCCAACAGAATGAAACCATGGGAAACCCGTGCTGCTTGGACTTTGGATCACAGTTTCTGGCTTCTTCTGGGATGGCGCCCGGGGTGAGTTAATGGCATTCTTGAGTTCTCTCCAAAGACTTGGGACAATCAGGAGTTGGAAACGGGCTGTTTCTGATCCACGTGTTGACCTGCCTCATCCTTTCTTGTCCGACGTTTTGCTTCTCATCCTTTCTCATCCCCGCAGACGAATCCACCACATCCACTGCGGCCATTTTTCGTCGCCTCGCCCGTTCAAGGACCGTGCGCCCTGGGAACGGCCCAGACTTTCAGCTAAAGGCGCGCGGCTTGTTGCAGGAGGTGGTGCCTGAGAAGTGCAAGGCCACCGGGCGGCACCCAGAGAAGTTGAAGGGTGGTGGACGCGGTGGAGAAGGCAGGCAAGGACCTTTAACTAGTGTTGTCCCTTTGGCCACATTCTCTTAAATGATCATTGTTGCAAGGGTCTAGACTCTAGACTAGACCAAAGTTTGTGCGGAAACCTGCCAAGCTTACCTGCTTTTGCGAGCAATTTCAGTGGGGGTAGGAGGTAGGACCAGTATGATTTCTTGAGATTTGAACTTAACGCCCAACTGCTCCATTTGGTGTCGTCCCCCCCACCACACTCCCTATGCCAGGTGCGCCTTAGTACTGGCAAGCGCATCACTTTGTCTCTGGCCAAGAAGGCAGGGAGCCTGAACCGGTTTTAATTCACACCCAACTTTATGGGAGATGCAATCCATAAGCCAGTCAAAGATTACAGTACATATCCACGAGACTCCCAAGTAAGTGAATGCGCAGATGGTACCCGTCGCAGCTGTATTGGGACGGAATTCTTAAAGCTTGGGCCACATACTTCTTAGCATTAGCCATTCAACCTCGTAGGAGTCAACTCCATTGAACAAGGGCTTGACTCCCCTGAAGTCAACATCCGGTCGTCCTTATGACAATTATCGCAATCAGTCGCTGTGCTGTGAGGATCCGCTTGTCACTTGGAGCGCCCTCTCCAACCGAAACTGGTGATTCATGTGCGGGAAAAGTCCGCACCAGAACGAGGGACTCAGTGGTGGATAACTTGGAACGGGTCACGACAGGTTAGAGTCAAAAAAGAAACACCAATCAATTGTCAATTACATCACTTCGTTTGTTTCCAAGAACTCATGGGACTGTAGCTTGTTGGACCGTCTGAGGAAATGCTGCTTGCATGGAATTAGCTCTCCCTCTCTCTTTCTCTCTATATCTGCATATATTGTACAATATTGTACTGTATATATATATATATCTACGTACGTGTGTATACTCCTTTGGTGTATTTTGTCTGAAGAACATGCCTGATATCTGTACTGTTATGCAACAATAAACTGGCGCTACTGAGACAGTCAATCCATGTTGGACACGCATCCTCATGGGTTCGGGCCAATGCAGACCCTAGCTGAGGGTGGCCATCCATTCGTCACAGCAGTCGAAGCCGGCAGATCAGTCGGAACCCCGAACAGCCAGCAAGCACGCTCTGGTTGGCACTTTTGAACAATGGGTTGTTTCGGGAATTTGCTGAATCATCCAATGTCATGCCTTGAAGTTCTAGCCAGGATTCTAATAAGTCTTACCCTGCCCAAGCAGGACATTGGCTTTTCTTACCAATCTCTGTCATCTCCTCAGGCAGGATTCTTTTCGTCAGAACCAAGTGTACGGAGGAGTCTTGAAGGACCTGTCGTTCAAGGAAAGCCAAAGATGCAGGGGACAGATCTGGCATCTGCTGGATTTTCAGTAAGTGAAACTTGGAGTTCATAAAACCTCGCCTGATGAGACGCACAGAAGCCTGAGCTAGGTCCAAGAACCACACCATGGTTTTCCTGTTCTGAGGCCCTCAGCCATCTCCAAAGTAATGTCGCTTCTGTGTGGTGGCTGAGCAACGGATGGTTGAAGAATTGGCAGCAGAACCTGTGCGCTTGGTGGTTCGGCTTAGAATTGTAGGTTGTGGCTGAGGAGAAGCCATGCATATTTTATATTTTACACCCGTGTCCTAGTCGATCCAAGTGGACACAGAATCTTCTGCACCGTTGAAAAATGCTCTATCGTCCTGGATGGAGATTAGGTGGCGCAATAGACTATTGTGCTTGAACCTCCAGAGTGGCATGCATAACCCATGACATGGCCAATTATTTTGTGAGGTCACGTTTCGAAGAGCTCAAGATCACCTGGAGCAACTTCTACACTCAGGCCAGTTGATTTGGTAGCAGCCAAGAGAGGATAGTCAGATAGTCAGGATTTGATGGTGAAAGTCTCTCTATGAACATTTTCAGGTAGTTTGTCTGGTGGACGGAGAATCCAAAAGATATCCGGAACAAAGGGGGCTGTTTAGCCAGGAAGTTTGGACGCACGAGTTATCCGTTTTTGGGGACGAGATCTTCGGCCGACGTGCCAGCATGGACCATTGTGCTGTGATCATCGACAGACCGAGCAGCAGCACTTCTTTTGAGCAGATACGCATGGTTTTGTCATATGGCTGTTGCAGGCGGAGATTTGGGAGCCTTTGCTGGCCCAGCGGCCATTGCTTATGGATCCCGTGATCTCATGCGCCAACCTGGCAGATCCAAAGGTGGGAAAACAGCCAGAGCACGGGTGCCGGACAATAGAATACTGTAGATAAGTCACTCAACATTTTAGTCAGAGTATATTCAGAGCAATAACACAACTGTATCCAGGCCTTTGAAGCGCCTTTCCTGCAGAACTGTCTTGGCTTGTGCTGTTCGCTGCAAGGCATTCAATCCCCAGGAGCTGATGATGCATGCCAGGCGCTTCAGCCGCTTTTGAAGTAGTTAGCCGGTAACAAGTGATATCTATATGGGTTGGCTCACAGGTTGCTTTTGCTTGTTTTGCTTTGTGTATGTTCATCAAGATTTACTTGTGAATTGTATCTTCAAGCAGATACTCTATCCACAGTATGGTGTTTAAAATATATTATGCATAATCATATTATGCTCATTCTTGGAGGTCAAGTCACTATGCATGCTGCCCCCGAATCGGATCTGCATCCAGGGTGTTTGGCAAGCGAGGAGGGTCTGCTTCGGTTTGAGCAAGTTGCAGCAAGGTCTAGAACATGGGAATATGGACTGCAAGACCCGTTTGGGTAGTTGGCTACAAACCCAGACCTGCACAATCCAGCTAAGTGCATGACTACAACCAAAATCTACGTTCCCCAGGTTTTTCATTTTTGATCCATAGCCGAGGCAAACTGAATAGTAGCCTGGAGACAATGTCTGTAAAGGTAAAGTTTACTAAGGGTTGAATAAGATTTCGCCAAGGGTCCTTTCAGTCACCAAATCTTTTTCGGTCCCGTTTGCCTCCATGCAGATCTTTCCGCTGCCTCTGACTTGTGAGTGTGCTTGGCCCAGCCAGCCACGAGGAGCGGAGGCTTCAGTGATTTCTAGCTTAGGAGGTCATGCAGCGAAGAACAGCTTTACCTGAGCCCATCCTACTTACACAGTCAGTTCCCTCAACAAAGGGTCCAAGTGCAAGTCCGTGATGAGATTGTGGCACGTCTTGCGATGCAGAAAATGCAAAAAGAGATCTGTCCTGAGAGCTGAGTCTCATTCGTTGGCTTTTCAAAATGAGCAAGCAAATGTTCATGTAGCACAGATCTCTGCGCTCCGAACAAGACAACAAGACTCGTGACCCACAAGTAGATCCTTGGTCACTTTCTTGCCAAGATGAATGAAGTACCTGGCTTGTGAAGAAATGTATGTTCCAAGATTTGCATGTGGGGACAACATGGAGGTATGTAACACCACAAGACCTGTAGCTCTTTGGAAAGACCAGGACCTTCCGAAAGCTTTGTTGGCTGTGAGGAGATATGAGGCAGACTTGTTACAATATTACTGTATATGATGTCTCCAGATTGCAGTACCAGACTCCCAGACTGACTTCAGCATGCACGCACCAATACTATACATGGAAGTCCGAGAAACACATTGTCCAAGAATCGAATGAAGCTTAGGGATCGGATAGGGGACATGTAGTGGAAGCCTTCCTTTCATTGAGGGAAAGCAGATAGAGGACCTGTCAAATTCCAGCTGGCAAATATCCAGTTGTAGGAACACAGAATGGGCAGGTTCTAAGTCATAGTGGATTTCATGCGATTTCTTGATTGGCCATGACCGAAAAGAAGAAGGCTGCGAAGGAGGCGAAGACCTGCGCTCAGCTAGAATGGCCTCGACGGCTAGGCAACCTAGTTGTAAACACGATGAGCGTGTCGGTGGTTGTGTATGAGGCAACACACGAGTCACCCGACAAGGTTTGGCTGAGCTGAAACGCACGCGATGATTGATCTGAAATGTGTTGTCATCATATCATATCCAACTTAATGGCCTAACATGGTGAAACCAGACCGTATCATATCGTTGTAGTTGGAGGGGTTTTAGACGACCAGTGGTTGGACCTTTTTTGAGGGGAAACCAGCTTTCCCCATACCAAGATCAGTCGAATGGCAAGATAAATTAGTACGGTAAAAATCATCCAATGGTGACTTGAAGTATTGATCTGGCAAATCGGCGGGAAGACACAGTTCCGGACACCTCCACACCCTTCTTCATTGCTGGTGCGAGGCGGCCTTGCAGGGTGCCCGCACGGCAGAAGCCCGCATCGCAGAGGATATCCCGCTTTGCTGTGAGCATGCCAATGGAAGCTATGGAGCCAGCTGGGGTTCGGTTTCTGGACTCCACCAGGTTGATCCCGGAGAGCTTTTTGGAGGTTCATTTCGGGACCCTGATGACATGAGCTGGAGGACTGGAGTAAATCAAAGGTTCATTTATGCAGGAAAAACTCATGACTTCGTGAGTTCGAGAGGATCAGGTTCTATCCGGAGCAGGAGATACACTTTTCAGATCAAACTATCGGAAGGAACCTGTGTTGCATCGCTCGTGGGGGTGACTGACATGCCTTATCATTTGAGGGCTGGATCCAAAGTATATACTGGATCTCTATCTACATATACATCACGAAAGCCAGCCGATAAGCAAGGCTTGAGGTTGCTGGAGCGAACGAACTGAGTAAAGGGGGTGTTGGGGGGGTGGTCGCGAGGTGGCCAATTTTGGAGAGGTGAACCCAGAGCCTGGTGGGGGAGAGCGAAAAAAAGAGGTCACTTGGTAGTGAAAAACGAGTGGTTTGAGGGGTGTTGTGATGCCGGTGATGTAGTTGATGGCGAAGAGTGCATCATCAGCATCACGAGGGGCTCAGGAGGCCATGTAAACTCTTTTTACTAGGAGTGGGAGTTCATGTCAATGATAGAAAAGAGGGGACAACGGGACGCGAAAAGTGGTTGGAACTCCGCTAGACAAGGGAGATGTGCGCATCTCATGGCCAGTGAAATAGTGTTCGACCAGGGGTGAAAGGGAGGTGTGAGTGATCTGTGAGGAGCCAGAATGCTGTGGGGAAGGTGGAAGACAGGCATAGCGTAGGAGGATGTGGTAGGAAAAGAGGGGTTGCAAGAAATGTTGGAGTTGCTTGTGGTGCCCTTTTTTAATGGTGAAGACGCCGGTCAACTATACGCAAAAGGGCACCCCATATGGGCGCGAGTTCCTGTAGTGCTGTGGTCCGTTGAGGGCAGGAAAGAGAACACAATGCAGCGGGCAAGCTTTGAATTGCTTGGGGGTGCTCTTTTTTAACGGCGAAGATGCCCCTCAGAGGTTTGCAGTTTGGGGCCATTTGAGGTGGCCAGCTGTTGCTGGAAACCATAGCACTTGCTCCAAACTACATTAAAGGCTTAAATAAGAACAAAGAGACATCTAATCACGATAGCCAGCCGTCAACTCACTTGAAACATAGACCAACACACCATACCAAACCTTCCCCGGACTACAGGGGTGCCCTTTTTCCACTCCACAACGCCCCGACATCAAGACGAAAAAGGGCACCCCGTCCCAAACCTATGTATTCTACTGTCCGTTGACATTCTTTCTCAAATGCAGCCATATCCACTTCACCTTCACCACTTCCAGCTCCTCTTTGTCCACTCTACCTATATACGTATATGTATGCTCTCGCCCATTGGCCCCCGCAACCATCTTTGCTCACTGATTGGCAACACGCAGCAGGCAAACTCACATACTGTAAACGATTTGGTGCCCTTTTTCCACCTCCAAAACACTCCTGAACCAGGACGAAGAGGGCACCCCCCTTTTAATCCTACCTTTTTCTGTTTCTACCTCCTGTCGGGTACCTGGAGTACTCTTTACGCAATGTGAGCCTACCACTTCATCTCGCACGCTCAAGTCACCACTTCCGGTTACTCTTTGTCCACTCTACCGACCTATATACATATATGTATCCTCACCTAGCCTGCCCATAGCTTCGCACATGGCCTCCCACGGCCGTGTTTGCTCACTGATTCGCAACATGCCGCAGGCAAGCGGGTGCCCTTTTTCACCTCCAAAACGCCTTGAACTAGGACGGAAAAGGGCACACCCCCCCAAACCTATGTATTCTACTTTCTGTTTCTACCCCCTATAAGTGTGGCTGCGATGTCAACTTCACCCCATGAAAGTACTCTTTGCCCGATGTTGACCAATCACTTCATCTTGCGCGCCAAGTCTCTGGCCAGGCTTGCCCTGAGGGCACCCCCTAACTCAGAGGCTGGCTTTCGTCCCCTCCCTTCTCAGGTATATATATATATATATGACGACTTATGTCAGTGTTTGACATTCCCTCCACCAAGGCCTTGATGAGCGGAAAAGACAATTGTTGAATGGAGTCCTTCAGGGACTTAAACAACTCAAGAAACCTGTTGAAGGCTAGCATGTTGGGTGTGTCTCACGACACGCGGCGGGAAGCCGAGCGCCTCTAGCCATAGGAGGCCAAGAAGAAGTTCACTCGGATTGATGCTTTTGAAGGAATCTACGAGTTGGGCTTCCTAGCCAACGCAGGGTGTAGGGAGAAATTCATGAAACACATTCCATTTCTGGTTCCGTTCGGCTCTGAGAAGAGAGACTTTGCCTCGTCCTTGCGAAGGTTGGACATGTGACCCAGTTGTTTTCATGCTCGGCGCGTCGGAACCCGCTGCTGAACTTCAGTTGCTTTCCACTTTCCATCGAAACCATTATTGGAAGGAGAGTAGGGTTTTTCTTCTACACCGGTCCCCGAGAACATGAACCCAACAGCCAACAACTATCCGTCCCGAACTGTTTGCCCTTTTGCCACAGTGCTCAAGCGGCCAAGCTTCACGTTCGTGAGAGTCACAGTTTCGGTGCACCATGGGTCAAAGCAGGAGCAGCCAGGTGCTGAATGTCCTTTTTGTGGGTGGAGCCATCCTCATTGCGGTGTACTCCTGGGCCATCTACGGACTCCTCACCGAATGGTTGATCCCTCTGGGCAGTGCGGTGCATCCTGACATGCAGCAAGCATTTAACAAGGAGATTGAGAGATGAGGGCCAAGCTTTAATTTGAAAAACAATCTCAGGAACAAATCTCTAGCCTGTTCCTTTTGGTGCGTGAGGATGCGGAGAAGAAATTGAGCGCAGCTGCGTTTTTGTTCCCTGATTCGACAAACTGAACATCCACATTTTGCAGGAGAAGGCCGCGATCTACATCCATGCCATGGCATCGGCCACCGCCCTGGCTATTGGTCCCTTCCAGGTGGGGAATCATAGGTGTAGACGTGCGAGTCTCGGGACAATCCCTCGGGTAGACATGCGTTGACCCAATCGTTGCAACTATTCAAAGAAGCCTGTAAATGAGTTCCTCACACCATGTCAGGGGTCAATTTGAACTCTTTGGGTGGGGTAGCGTTCAGTCGGAGAATGGCGTCTGAGGTGATCCCTTCTTGGCGGCGCAAGCACATGTTGGGCCACCGACGGGCTGGTCGCGTTTATTTCGTGTGCTGCTTTGCCGGCTCCATCTCAGGCATGACTCTGTCGCTCAGTGCTCAAGGCGGCATGGTGGGCAAGGTGAGGCCAAACATCAAAAAGCTTCACATTATTAGTGAGAGGTTGCTTAGAGTTACTTCAAGTTGCCACAACATTTTCAACGTTGGTTGATTCACTCTAGGGCTGTCTATCCATGAAAATTGTTGGACTAGGTTGGCTTCTTCTCCCTGGGTGTGGTCTGGCTGCTCAGCAACTTGGTCGGCTTCGTAGCCATCGTCTTCCCAAAGATTCGTACCATCTGGTTGCATGAGGCGGCTATGCAGGGATGGATTTGGTTTGAGTCTGTTTAGAGCTACACACCAGCAACTCCTAGTTGGGGTTTCCTGTTTGGCACACATTTGTTGGAACAACCTGGAGGTTTCTTTCTTTCTTTCGTTCTTTCTTTCTTTGGTCACCAACAGCGAAGTTTAGAGGTCTTCAGCCAGCAGGTTCCAGTTTCTGGGTCCTGCGAAGTCACTATGAAGGAGGCAGGTTCGGAGAAAGTTCTGGAGCAGTTAGGTTCTGGAGAAGGTTACAGAGCAGGTTCCTGGCCAGGTTCCAGAGCAAGTTTGGAGCAGGTTCCTGTTGGGAGAAGGCTTCGCGGTTTCGGAGCACTTGCAGATTCGCTGGCACACTGTTATGCCGTCGTCATGGCGCAATACCAGCGTGTCATCATGCTGACATGTTATGCCAAATGCTATTTAGCATAATTGCCTATGGGGCTGTCATATGGAGATTCTAACATGTTGTCATTCTGTTGTGCTGACTTGCACAGATGATGTCGTGCTGACGCGTGCGCTTTCTGGTGGCATGGTAACATGTTGTTTGCTGACATGCAGCATGCTATCACTCTGATATGGTAACAGGATGTCATATTTGTGTGTTGTGTACAATGCCGTCATACGGACGCATAGACATGCTAATGGTGTCATATGCTAGCATGGTGTCACGCCGACATGTTGTCAGGCTGCCATCCTGATGCTGCAATGCTGACCTGGGTCACGCCAACATGCTGGTACGATGTCACGCTGAGACGCTGAAATCAGGTCATGCTGTCGTGCTGACGGGCCGGGGTCCGGTACAGGTTCCCTGGTTCTTGCTCGAAGCGGTGTTGGCGTCCTTCCACATCACATATGTACTATGCCGACATAGTGTCGTTGTGATGCTCGCGTGACATTGACATATTGAAAAGGTTCACATGTTTGAAAACAAAGTTGTCTGGCAAGGCAAGCCTGTTGTTGGTCAGCCTGCGACGGCTCCATTGTTTAATGGGCAGATTCCTCTCTCTCTCTCTCTCCACTTGCATGGTTGGATCCACCTAGGTGAGTTGCGCTTTGACCTACTCAGCCGTCTCGTTGCGCATTATGCTGCCGGTTGCTGTTCTCAACACCGAGCACTTTCAGCCCTTGTATGGTGCCATTGCCTGGCTATGCTGGACAGTCAACCTTGTGATTCTGGGCATAATTTGGCTTTGCCAAAAAGAGGGGTCAAAGACAACTGAGCCTGCGGCAGCTGAGCAGCTTCCAGCGAAGGACGTGATGTAAACTGCAAACCTGTTGATGTAGAGAAGCACCACATTTTCGTATTATGTGGTCCAGCGTGCCATGGGGAATTCGAAGAATTAAGAACCCTGGCACACACCACAAAACTACGAACCTCCAACTGGGACGAAGGTCCTTTGCAGAGTTTGGACACCTTGCAGACGAGCCACAGGACTTTTGTCCACAGGGCTGTGTGTGGTTGCTCGCCACAGCTGCGCCATGCTGAAGGCTTCGCCTCCTGAGGGGTTGATGCTGGAGTGTGCTCCGCAACAGACCACCTGCAGAGAGATGTGATCAATTTGCAAAACGATAGAGAGACAGATACATTGGGAATTCCCAATCATACACAACATGCGTAGTTCGGCTTCAGCATGGAGATTTTGACAGGGCTTGTCCACAAGTGCCCCTCCTCGCAAGGATGTGGAGGACGAGAGAACAAAGATTCAAGCGGCGTTTTGCATTACTCTTTCCCTGCGCCACCTGTTTTTCCAATGAACTCAACCGGCTCAAAACTACAGATTATTCGCACACAGGATAATTACTGTTTTCAAGTCAGCGACTGGTGGTTGAACTGGTTTGGTATGATTACTCCGTACCGGGTAGGCATTGCCACTGCGTAACTTAGTTGCTTCTGCTGCCAAGCAACCAGACTTTATATATATATATATATATACACCGGTTTCACATCCAGGGTCCTTATCAGTCTTCACTTTTCACAGCAAGCCAGATGGATCCACCCCAAACCACCTCTCGCCGCACCTCACTGTTGCGGCCAGAAGTCGGAGCAAACCTATCGACCTCCCGTTTGGCCTGGCCGGTTTGAGGTGTTTCGCGCTGGACATTGCCTGCCAAGTGCTCTACAATGGGGTCATGCACTACTCCGCCAAGCATGCCCTATTGGCGGCCCAATATCCGGATGCGACGGATCACCTCCAGGCAGAGGAACTCGCTACTGTAGTTTTACCTTTTGGCTTGGCCCGATTTCCAGAGCCTATTTGGCCCCCCAAGGACCGTCGCAGAATGAGATCTTTGCTTGAGAGCTGGTCACCAGGTTAGATGAAATGCGTGTCAAAAAAATCAATCGCGGAATCGTGGAAGGAGAACTGTCAGTGACAATGTGCCCTTGAAGCTTCTGAGAAGTGGTTTTTTGAGAGGCAAATGGTATGCCCTGCTGGCAGGCCCCTGGGAGCGCAGAGGTGTCAGCTGCCCTGAAGCTTGTGGAAGGAACCTTGGTAGACTGGCCTTGGCATGTGCGTTCTTTCAACGATGTTCAAACGAGATAATAGGCTGCCAAGCCATGTGATCTAGAGCCTCCAATCTTTGATCCGGCCCTTCTATGCCCTTTTGACCTCCACGCTTCAACCTGCGTTTCACCCAAGTTAGCTGCTGGGTTCTCGGCATCTACTTTGGATGAGTCAGACAGGGTCCCACAGTGCCTTTTTGACTCTCTTGACCAAACATTCCTGCACCTTCGACCCAAGCCTGACTTTCCGTCCTTGTCAGTTTTAGGACTCACTTGACTAATCCAACCACATTCCAACCACACTTCATGTCATAGGTGCTGGACATTTATGTATTTCTACTCCGCAGAAAGCTGGGGCAGCAGCTCCCCTTGAGACCATCCCGGACCATCGTCCCTTCCAATCCTCCCTTCGATCCAAGGAGAAGCGGAAGCAAAGACTTGGCCTCAGATTCGCCTCAAGGCAGGCGAAATCGCTGCAAATCCACCGTGGCGAAACCTCCGGAAACCTCACGTAGCACCGCAAAAGCCTCTCAAGATGAGCTAAGGAATGGCCTTGTCACGCGGAACTTGAGCGTATATAAGCACAAACCTGGGAATCTGAATTCCTAAGCGAGTTGTGAGGTATGCATGTTGCGCAATTGGGGGTCATGTTGGGGGTATGGTTGTCATGTTTGCTTAATGCATCATATGATATGCGGCAATTGAGATGTGCGTAAGGTCTTCTGGGACCCTCCATTGTCGTAAGTAGAGCATGAGGGGAGTGTAAGAAAGCTCTACGACGACACATACTCTGCAGAGTTCAGTTGAATCCAATTTTTTTGTAGAGGCATGTAGAGGCTGAGATCTTAGCAGTCAAATAAGCTGGACCAAATGATGGACTCCCTTTCACAGGCATGGTGATGAACGGTCATTCTCCTGCACTACCGCCCCCAAACTATCCGGAGAATGTCGGGAGCTTCGCAGTACCAGGCCATGGAAAAGATCCTACGGGACAAGTTCCAGAGATGTGAGGAGAGGAAGATGCAGGGATCCGGTAAGGGACTGAAGGGAGAAAGAACAGAAGCTCGATGGACATGGATGGCTCGAGTACTGGACAGCACTTCAGCGGTGGATGTGTTTGTTCTTTCGTAAAGGCCCATGGTACCCACTTCTTGTTCATTGGGGAGCTATTGTTTGCTCATGGTAGGACGCGTGATTCATGACACTAGTCAACACAAGCTGATTGTGGTTTTTGTGTTCCGATTTCAAAAGGAACGTACTGCCACAAATTAAATTGAAGTGTGAATTGAGGCAGATTTGGTGCTGTCCGAGGAGTTAGAACTTTCAATGAGTCACTGCTTAAGATCGGTGGTGGCAGACTTTGGAATGTGCAAGTCATTTAATGACCTCTGCATGCCCTATGAGATTCTATTGGATTCCTCTCTCCTTCAGCTTTGGCGAGCCAGGAGTACCGGAAGAAGCTAAAAGACACAGGGGATCGAGATTTGGTGTGCCCTGACACATGATTAGTATTATGAGACTTGGGTCATCAAGTATGGTGCTTAGTGACATGCAATCATTTCAATTTCAGCTGACATGCATGAGGCCTAATAGCGTCTTTGCTCCTAGTAGCGATGCCCTTTGTTCCTAGTACCGTCCTTGCTCCTAGTAGTAAGGCCACGAGCCCCTCGTAGCGTCCGAATGCTCCTAATATCAGTACTGTGCAACAACATCTCTTAGCCACTTCGGAGACCTGAGGTGGGAGAATGAAGAGGACACCTTCTGGGGAGCGACCAAGGGCCGTGGACAGAATCATCTTGGCCGCTGCTCGGCATGAAAGTATATGAAGGTTCACCGTGGGTACGAGTCTTCTGACATTGGACTTCTGTGATGCCATTCCCTCTGTCAGTTGAAGCGTGTGAGAACCCAGTGGATCTACCACGTACCTGAAGAGTGGTTATGAGTCAGAACAGTCATAGCCTTCTTCCAGCATAGGTTCTTGCAGTCTTCTCCGTTGAGCCCTCCTGGCCAAGGAATCCTTATGGATGTGCGGAAGAGCATCCATGACGCTCGACGAGACTTGCGGTGGGGACAGTTTTAGCTGGTTCCAATACAGCGTCCCTGGAGTAGAATCTGTACTGAGTTGGCATCTTTCCAACAATACGGACATGGAAGACTCCCTTTCGTGGCCCTATCTGTGGGTAAGGTCGCAACTAGAAGTGGAATGCATGCATGACCTCCATGCCATGGGTCTTGTGTTTAATCCGAAGAAGACATCAGCGATCGATCTGCCAACTGTCACTTGCAGGAGACAAGTGGGTACAGTTACAACCTTGTCACTAAGTTTAACCTCCATGATTCTTTTCTTTCCATCGTCTCCTTTCATGTCGTCCCCCCCTGAGGTGGGCTGGTTGACACATCAGGAAAGTCCAGGGGGTTTTCGCCACCGGAGGTCGACTCTCGACTCTTGTCCCTGGTGGCCCTAGTGACCCTAGTGACTCCCCAGTGTCCTGGTTCGCAATATTCTCCAGTCTTGCTCCACGAATATACTCTGGAATGAGACGGTGCTCAAGAGCATTTCTTCCTTTGTTTTCGCGTTTGCATCAGGAGGAGACGGACTTTCATTCGTGGCTTTTCCTTTGCTGCGAGTTGGAAAGCGATTCGGTCCGGTGGCCTCCAGTTGAGCTGGTGGAGAGCAAGGCCAGTTCTGAGACATCCTTATTGAAAGAGCCTAGTCAGTACTTTCAATTCTTGTGAATTGACCTCTCCGTGTAGCCTGCTTTTATAGGCCCTAAGCACCAACTCTTCCAGTCTTCAAGAGAGGAAACTGTCGCCTTCCTAGAGTTGGGCAATCTTAAGATTGCAAGCCCGTGGGGGCTTCCGAAGTTGCTTTCTCTTTTCCATGAAGACATGGACGGCTTCGAGCCAATTGGCCAGCGAAAGCTCCCAAACCAGCGCAGGATGATGGCTCTGGGGATACGCAGGCCAGCCTGGGGCCGAACTGTGGTATATGACGGTATATGCACTGTAGCTTGCGTAAGGAAAATGCGAAGTCAGGAATGGCGGTGTACTCAATGTAGGCGAAATCCTCGACCAATGGTCACAATGTGAGGGCTGTAAACTGGACCATGTGTTCCTGAACTACAGACTCTGATTGTGCACAGAAAGATGGCAATCACAAGTCACAGGTAGGCTCCCTCACCAACCGGACAATTTGAGATAGAGGTTGTGAGATTGCCCACAGCATCATGGGATTGGTCCAAGCTGCTCGGACTTTGTATATGACTCCAGAGAATGGCAACATGAGTCTTGAGCGTATCATATCCAAAAGTAGACATGACCCCAACTCTACGATTCTGAGAGGCTACACAATGACATGCCTCCTTTGCGCAGGTGCATCGCCTTACTGGCAAGGACTGGATGGTCATGCTTGCATCATGGTGATTTAGTGATCCGTGCAACAATGCTTACTGCCCTGGTTGCCTGTCCTTGTTCCTTCTTTGGAACTTTTCTTTGTCTCGCGCTACCACACGCTCCCTGTTTAAGCCTGCAGCACCAGAAGCAGGGTTGTGCTTGGAATAGAGATGTTGAAGAGCAACTTAGCACTTGGACCTGGTGGCTGTTGCAAGTGTTTACCGAAAAATGATTCCAATCATTGTTGCGGATATACACATCAAAGGTATTTGATTTTGTGTGGAGTATGTACAGAGGTTTGACCCAATCCCATTGGAAGGTCTCCCTTCTCAAGATTAAGCACCCTTAGCTTTTTGCGAGTCGGGGTTGACATAAGCAGCCACAAGCTTTGTACTTTTCCAGTGAAATATTCTGCTCATGTGTGATGGTTACATGGTGAGTACAAGGCATTTGACGGCATCCTCTAATATCTCCGCCCACCGGAGGAGTACTACAAGCTTGGAAAGTTGCCTTCCAACTCTGTGGCCGCGCTTCATCCCTCCATCTCCCGTGAGCATGCGCTGATCCTCCACAGCAAGCTGGAGGCGACCGATTGGGCGGATTCGTGGAGAATTGGATGCCAGTTAAGCCGAAAATCTTGTTCAATCTAAGCAGTGAGGTAGATGGTGTTCTTCATGTTGATGGCTGCGGCCTTTCGGCACGCTGGGTGTAGAATTCAGCAACACTTGAAGACAACGCGACTCGAATGTGGGGGCTGCTAACTCCGAGGCTTGCAAGAAAGTCAGCCATACTAGATACGGAAACGAGCCAACCTGAATCTGGAAGTGGAATCAGCAAATTCCGGATCCTGGGCGTGTCACAGGGTCGTGTATCCAGTTATATATGTATGTATATGTATATGTGTATGTATATGTGTATGTATATGTATATATATGCAGTCGGAAGGAACGGACGCCGGAGTGTGTCACACCCTCGCAGTGAGGGCTCAAAGAAGTGGTCTGGGCCAAGGATCTGCAATGTCGGATCCGGGTGCATGGCTGAAGAGGTTACAAGACCTCGGGTGGCAGCGCAGCACCCTAGCTTTCTTCGACGCCATGCCGCGCGCCGAGGTCCTCGAGATGTTGCCCGGAGTGGCCGAGGACTGGACAGAGGAGCAGCACGACTGGCTCCTCAGAGAGGCGAAACGACAAAGGGTGAAGCTGGATGTCGAGGATCACACGTTCCTCCAGCATCAGAGATTGCTGTTCCGTGATCAATCCTACATCGACCGCATGATCGAGGGCACCCCCTATGGCGAGGCGCAGGCCGGGCTTTCTTTGGCCAGAGTAAGGAAGTCTCTTCCTCGAGTTTCCTGGAAGACTCGGGCCGACAAGATGTTGGGTCACGGGCCTAGTGAAGAGCTCGGGCAACAGGTTGAAGAAAGAGAGCGTGAGCGATGGATCCAGAAGCTGGTGATGCTCCTTGAGGTGACAGGCCTGGTGAACGCTGAGGAGAAGAAACCTGAGAGGTACAAGTACTTCGCCCCGTACGTCTTTGCGACACAAGGCGTCCTTGCCGTCCGCTGCGTATCGTTTGATTGACGTGGGAGGCTTTGACCAGTCGCAGGCGTCTCCCAAGGACGTCTCCGATCTCGTCGCCGCCTTCTACGGCGTGAAACCGCTCGTGCAACTCATCGACGCTGCGCATGAAAGCTGTTCCAGCCACTCGCTGGACGAAGTCATTGACTTGTTGCATCGCAAAATTGACGAACTGTGTGTGGAATTGGCAGACTGGAAGGGGCGCTTGCAAGACGCACACACGCAAGGCATTCAAAGCTGGCTCTTTGACGACAAGTCGCAGTTCGGAAGGTTCCATGTTGCAGCTTAGTGCGACGTGGGTGAGTCAGTCCTGAGCGAGTGGCTGGAACAGCTTCTCATGCGCAGCGTCGATGAGTTGCACCCGCCGCGGAGAGGTCACCGGCTCGACAGAATGCTCTTCCAGAAGCTGTCAATGTGGTGCGGTGTGGGGAGTCTGGACCGCTTCTGGGAAGCGCGAAGCGGAGACTGATCAGAGTGCGAGTGCTGCGTGAGAGTGGCGATTCCGTCACCGTGGTGCGCTTTGTGCGGCGCCCACTGGACGCCATACGGAACTACTCGCATCAGTCCGTCTCCCAGACCAGTTATCCTTAGCCGCCACACTGTGGCAGTGGAAGATCGGTCATTTTGTTTTTCTCCTTGTTTGGAGAAGATTTTGCTAGATTTTGATATGTCGTTATGTGACATATCATCATTTAGTTCATTTCTATTTTCCTTGGGCGCGAGTTCCTGTGAACTCTTATGGCGCTTCCACCTCTCGGTGGAGGGTCAGGACTCGCTGCCTGAGGCAAATAGAAACTGTGACATCAACGCGCAGTGCAGAAAAGAATGTGATTATTCTTTTACAAAAGGCAACAGCTCCCGTTGTCACTGCGCAGAGCGCGTATTGGTCGATGAGAAGGCTATTGTCGACGACGAAACTGCCGTGGATCCATCACTTTGACAATGTCTCTGGTGTCATATTCGTCGTGGCCCTCAATCACTACAACGCGGTGCTCTTCGAAGATGAGTCCCGGAACGCCCCTTCGCACTTTGAGTGGCTTTTGCGTCCGGGCGTCCAGGAGAACGGCTCAGCCGTCCGCGAGCAGCAGCGTGATGGCGTAGCCGAGCCGGTCGTTCACGTCTTTGGGACGCATGGCGAAGAGTGCCAGACCCAGGAGAAACATGCAAAACGTCACGTGCAGCAGAGGCACGCGGAGCAGGGTCCAAGTGCTCCAGGACGCGGCGTAGCTCCCTTCGCAGCATCGCGTCGTCGAACTGCGTTCGGAACACCACACCTCTTGTGAAGTCAATGGCGACAAGGTTGACCTCGACGCGCGCCGCAGCAGCATTCGATAAACCACTCGCCTTTGCGGAACGGCTGCTTGATGACCAGTTCCTTGGTGGCGCAGAGGTCAGGTGCGCCGACCAGCTCTTCGCCGCCTACCTGGCCTTTGATCTGACCATCAAATGTCACAAGTGCTCAAGACCGCGCGACGGAAGCGGGCAGGAGAGAGGCGCTGTGCTTCGGACTCACCGCGCGACCATCGCGAGCGCCTGCTTCTTCGCGGCCGCCACGTCGCTCCTCGATGTCTTGTGCCTGCAGCTCTTGCAGCTCGAGGCGGAGCGCGCGGCGCCACGAGAGCGCCAGCTCGTTGTGGATCTTGAAGTGGTCGTAGTACTGCGGCGTGGACCGCCAAAACAACTTTCAGTCGTTGAAAAGATGGCTGCTGAAGTCAAAGGAAGAGTTCTTGAGACCTCTGAGCAACGCCGCACGCGTCTGGCGGTCGCTCTTTGGTGCCGTGAGCACTGCGCTCTCGGTGTTCCGGCGGATGTGCAGCGCATGGTCGCCTGGTGGAGTCCGTTCCTGGCAACAAAGGCTCGGCGCACTCGTAGGTGATTACCAACCAGGGTTGCTCAGGGAGGCACGCGCGATCCCCCTTCTCAGAGGTTGTTGAGAGGTTTACGATAGGAGAGACAAAAGAAAAGGAGGGGATTCGGCACCGATTCGCTGGGAGGAGGATGCGCCCGCCGCGCCCGTGCTGAGGGACAACTACACCTCCACCAAAGAGCGCATGGCCAAGGTGAAGAAGCATGTGGGGGAGGACCTGGAGAAGGGGTGGATGGTCAGGATGACCAGGCAGGAAGCCGTGGAGAGGTTCGGAGAAGACCTCCAAGTGGCGTCCCTGGGCTGAAGGTCAACACCGACGTGGAGCAGCCCAACCAGTTGGCCTTTCCCCAGTTTGACGATCTGGAGGCGATGGTGAGGGAGTTCAAGGAGCATGCGGGGCCGGCACGGCTCATGATGGCCTTCGACATCAAGGCCGCCCACCGCCTGGTCCCCATTCACCCGCAGGATTGGGGCTTGCAGGCCTGCAGGCTTGAGGAGGAGGAAGAAATCTACCTTAACGCCCGAGGAACCTTTGGAGTGGCCTCAGCGGCCTTTTGGTGGGGGAGAGTGGCCGGAGTCGCCTCTAGGGTGTTTCACAGGATTTTGGAGCCGCAGGCGATTTTCTGCCTCCTGCTGTTTGCGGACGACGGACTGATCCTGAGCGGAGGGGGGAACTACCACCGCAACATGATCGGGCTCTTCATGGAAATCCCTTTGTCATGGTCGAAGACGAGGGGGGGTCACAAGGTGGAGTGGATTGGCTACAACGTCGACATCCAGTCGTGGAGGTTGGGAGTGAGCGAGAAGAAGGTGGAGTGGATGAAATCATGGACCCAGCTGGCCTTGTCCAGGGCGGATGCTGGGGCGGGAGTTCAAAGCTGGCTTAGGCAGGATGGGCTTCCTTGCAGGAATCGCCAAAAGAGCCCGGCCATTCTTGGCCCCACTTTATGCTGCGTCTTCCCAAGTACGAGGTGGCAGCTTCTTCGACCTTCACTTGGCGGTCAAGCTGGCTATAAAGTTCTTTGAGGGCACGATTGTTTCAGAGCCGATGAGGGCGCTCTCTGATCCCCCTGCGGTGCTCGGGGAGATCTTCCGGGTGGACGCCATGGCTGATGTCGATGGAGTACCATTGTAGGATGGGAAACCTTTCATGTGGTGGACCCCCGTCAAGCCAGGTGGTTCCACGTCAAGCTGACGAGACAAAACGCTCCCTTTCTCTATGTCAAGGCGGAGCCCTTTCGCACCATCTCGTCGTCGGAGCTGCTGGCGGTCACGGTGGCAATAATGGTCTTTGGCCCGGAGGGCCGATGGAGAAGGGGGTCAGGCCGTATTTCGGTCACTGGCTTCACAGACAACCTGTCCAACGCCTACCTCATCGACCGGTTCTTGACGAAGAAGTTCCCGGCGTCTCTGGTGCTTATGGAGCTGTCTAAGCAGCTAGACGCCTACTCCCTGGACCTAGACCTGTCCTGGATACCTCGTGAACAGAACGAGGAATCGGACGACTTGTCAAAGGGCAGGTACGATAAGTTCGACATGAAGAACAGGCTGGAGGTTGACTTTGAGCACCTGAACTTCCTGGTCCTCAGATCTGAAGCGGGCGAGAGGCTGGTTTCGCACACAACAAGGAAAAGAAGAAGACGGAGAGGGTGGACACATGCAGTCGGAAGGAACGGACGCCGGAGTGTGTCACACCCTCGCAGTGAGGGCTCAAAGAAGTCCCACCCGACCCAACCCTAAGACAGGGACTGGGCGAGAGGCTGGGCGAGAGGCTGAGAGGCTGGTTTCGCACACAACCAGGAAAAGAAGAAGACGGAGAGGGTGGACGCAACTATATGTATAATTACAACCATCCTGGAGTAGTTTATAGAAAATGTTTTTGAACACTCAAAACTTTTTCGTCCAAAAAAGGTTTGAAATTCAATACGGTACTTAGTACTTAGAAAATTCTATTTTTATGTTTTTGAGTTCATCGTTAGCAATGCCATCATCTTCGTTTTCACTTGCGCAGACGAACCTGGGAATTCCGCAACATTTTAGAAACTCAAAAGTACATAGAATATGCTGCCCATGTACAACAATTAATGCATATGGTTTAAAATCGGTTTCCAAAGAAATTTCTTATAGATTCCTTTCTTAAGTTTATTGAAATAGTTTGTCCTGGGACACCTATGCCAACCCCCGCTCAGTTTGTTGACATTTTTTCTTTGCCATGCGTCCCATCAGGAAAGGCTTTCCACCACAACTCACCGTCAATGACTCCGACATACACACTTAGATTGATGCTCGCAAGAGCTGAATCAGTTACGGCAGTCCACTCTAGTGAATACAATACCGGTGCAGAGATTAGACCTTGACTTGAATCAACTGCAAGAATGCTGGGTCGGAGAAAAGAATTGTTGGAACAGACGCATAAAAGTTAGTGCAGGTACGTTTTCACCTCCCTGGCGCGCGGTCTTCGTTGGCCAGGACGCGCGCCAGGAAGTCCTGCCCCCCTGCATTGACGTTCTTTGAGAAATTGAGGTCTGTCTGAATTGTCGTGCATTGTTCGTGTCCTTCGAAACAGAAAGTGACACACGCACACACACTTATGGATATGCGTACTGACTTGACAGCGGTGCCACACGCCAGCCTAAGTAAAAGACCGAAGAAACCAGGACAGGTAAAGTATGGGGTTCCAAGCCTCTCAAAGCCTACGTGGCCTCCAACTCCAAATCGACGCATCCAAAGCGACAATGCACATCTGCCGATGAAGAACCGATGCAAAGGCTGGACATCTTGTTCTAGTTACAAGCAGGGCCCACGAGGGAATTCGTAAGTAAAACTGCTTGTACGTCTGGCTGATCAGGCCAGATATCCGCATGTACTGTGGCCGCTTCGTTGGACCATCGCTCACAGCACATGGATGGTCCCCCTGCTGAAATAAACGAAGACAATTCAAAAGAATCCCTGTAACTACAAGGGGCACACACACACGCCTCCCCGAGGGGAGGCGAAATTAAGGCTAGGACGAATGTGCAAATGTGCGCGCAGCAAGGACAAAAGGATGAAGACATGAGAAGGAAGACGAGACGGGGCAAAAGTGTGTGTGGTTGTGATGCAAGAGAAACCAAATGCACAGGGACAACCGATGAAACCTCATTGTCGAAACCTGGGCAACCTGAAACCTGAGTTGGAAGTAGATGTGCGCGTACACACTAAGGCCCGGACCGTTGTACGCGCAAAAAACGAAAGGAGTGAGATGAAAGGACATGAACCAAGAGAAGACATGAAAAGAAAGAGGAAAAGAAGTGTGTGAAGGGGAAAGGATGAAAAGGGAACCAAATGGAGGGGACGGGAACCGATGAGCCCAGACCTCATTGCAACAACCTAGGAAGACCTGCCTCGTTAAGGTGTGTACAGTGTACGATGTGTGTGCGCCTAAGAGTCCGACAGGTTCCAACGAACCTCAAAAGTACTTTGGTCGCTCTGACCACGTTGAAGCGTTAAGCCAGCTTAGACCGCTGCGGTCACGTAAAGGCATGAGCCAACTTGGAATTCAATAATCCGTCAAGTCTTGGCAAATAACTTTGGCGTACGCCTCCTGCTGTCCGCTTCGGACACCTACGTTCCCGGGCAGGGGGAACAATGGACAGACACCCGTTCGACGGGTCCATGGGAGGCACTCTACGGGCTCATCCCGGACTGGCGCGAGGCCAGACACGCTTATGTGTACTGACTTGACAGCGGTGCCACACGCCAGCCTAAGTAAAAGACCGAAGAAACCAGGACAGGTAAAGTATGGGGTTCCAAGCCTCTCAAAGCCTACGTGGCCTCCAACTCCAAATCGACACATCCAAAGCGACAATGCACATCTGCCGATGAAGAACCGATGCAAAGGCTGGACATCTTGTTTAAGTTACAAGCAGGGCCCACGAGGGAATTCGTAAGTAAAACTGCAGGTACGTCTGTCTGATCAGGCCAGATATCCGCATGTACTGTGGCCGCTTCGTTGGACCATCGCTCACAGCACATGGATGGTCCCCCTGCTGAAATAAACGAAGACAATTCAAAAGAATCCCTGTGACTACAAGGGGCACACACACAGACACGGCGGAGTTCTTCGCGGAACGGTGGAAGCCGCTGCGGAAAGCCACTCCGTCCTCAAACTTCGACAGTCCGATTCGCCAGAGGTCGCCTTCGCTGAGGTTTGCCCGCCGCCTGTTTGCTTCCGTTTTCGCGCCGACCTGCTGTGCAGCCAGGTCGCCCTGAAACGGTTGGTGAGCACTTTGGATGGCGCTACCTTGCAAGGTTTGCTTTTGGGTGCTGAACCACAGCAGCATCTATCTCCGACACCTCTGGGACACAGAGTGACGCGCGGACTGTGCAGGTCCAAACGAGATTCGTTTCTCCCCAAGCGCTGCTCTGCAGAAAAGAGCCCGTCGCTAGTCCCGTTCTGTGCGCTCTTTTTCTCTGTTGCTGGACCACCTGGGCTGCGTTGCCCAATTTCTATGGTCGCGTTAGTCGGAGCCTACTCCTAGGCCTCTGACTTTTTTCCCCATATAGCTGCAGGCTATAGGGGCTTTAACTCCTCAATGGTGTAGCTCTGGATTGGCGTTTTGGTTTTGCGGGTGCTGCTGCCGTGCTGATGCTGGTGCAGGTGCAGGCGCTGGCTCTCGATCGGCGGTTTGGTTTTGTAGGTGCTAGTGCTGGCTCTGGATCGTCGTTTCGTTTTGCGGGCGCTGCTGCCCTGCTGGTGCTGGCTCTGGATCAGCGTTTCGTTTTGCGGATGCTGCTGCCGTGCTGGTGCTGGTGCTGGATCCGCAGCTGATGATTTAATATCACTTCATGTATTTCCTTTGCTAGACCTGATGGCGTATGAAGTAGCCTTCATGCCTTCCATCATTTCGCATGTTTTTGCGACCAGTTCCAGAACACGACAAACAACCAATGTCTGTTGGCTGCTCTGCTGTGCTTTGCCATACCAAGCGGGCTCTGTACAAAAGCTGTGGCAAGTCCGCACCTCGGGTGTCCTTTGCTGAAAGCCCCATGTACAGATGTTTGGTTCACCTGCTCACCCGATCCATGTGGCGCGCATAGTGCTTTGGGCCACAACAGAAAGGGACACTCATCATCAACACTCCGGCGCAAGACTTGGGTCTCGCCTCTGAGAAAAACTACTGTGGCGCCGGTAGAGACTAGAGGCTCTAACCCTTCTACCGCGCAGCTTTTGCTATGCCTCTGGGACATGCTACCTTTCGTCCACCTCCCCAGGGCAGCGCGCAAAATATTTCAAGGGCTTGTCTCTGCAGGGAGTCCTTGACGGAAAGGCGCTGCCCGTTGCAGAAATGGACAATGTTCTTTTTGGGCAGGGTGCATAGGATATGAACCCTCAACTCGCTTTTGTTTCCTTGTCCAGCCGACTTGAAGCCTTACCGGAAATCAGCCGAGAAACCGTTCCGTTCTAATGCTCAGTCACACGGCTTTTGATGGAACAACGATGACTATGTCTATATTGTACATGTATATATATATATATATTTATGTGCGCTTATCCAGGGCACACGGCTCAAAGTTAGACAATCAATTGTCTGAACCGACAGAATTTGCAACTTCGGTTTCCCCCACCATGATCGTGCGGGGCTGGCAGGCATAACCCACGCTCATAACCCATGGTGTTCAAGATGAGCACGTTTTGTTGAGGAAACATTTGGCCTCAGGCAAGTCATGCCTTTGTTTGATTGGTGTGAGCCTTCTTGCAGAATTTGTATCCAATCAATTACCGTCTAAAGTCGAGTTTTACTTGACATGTGACTTTTGGAGGAAGTCTCGTACGAAACGCTCGTTTTGGAGACTTGACGTGTGACTTTTGGAGGAAGTCTCGTACGAAACGCTCGTTTTTGAATTAAAACTTGTGATTTTGTATACTGTTATTTAAATTTCATTTAAGCTGAAAATCAAAAACTCAAACTAAGAACTTGTACTTAGAGTATATATGTTAGGTTTTGCATTTCTTGTTTTCGTTCTCAATGCACTGTCATCTTGGCTTTACTTACGCAGACAAACCCGGGAAGTCCACAACATGATTGAAACGAATCTATATTGTAAATGCACTTACGCGCCCAACTATTCCAAATACTTATGTTTTTGAGCCGTGGTTTTGGAAAAACAACTCTATTGTATCTATGCCAAGATGGTTATGTATACTTACGCATCCACATACTCACTTTATTCGCCCGCTTCAGATGAAGGTCTGAAGGACCTTTGAAGAACATCAAGGGGTGTTGAATCTCCTCGCGGATTGTTTTTCCATTGTAGAGTTCCTTCATCCTGTTTCCTTTTTGCGTTGAGGACAAGAATTGGGATTTGGGGATTCGCATTGTCTAGAGGGCCATTCATTGCGATTGGTTTGGTTCATCGAGCAAGCAAACTGGACATGTTAGGTTTGCGTCGGTGTCCAGTTTGCGTGTGTATTTTAAGCTTCTCAGCGTAGCCAGTGACCAGACAGTAGGAATCATTCAAACATGTCTTCCTGTGGCCCCCTTCATCCCCCTGCTTTTCGCACAGCTTTCAGGTGGCAAGGCCGACCGGAGGCGTGGCCATCATGGACCTGGGATCCAAGTTCGGCACCCACGTCGATGGCAGGACAGGAACACCAAATTCTCTGCAGGACCTGTTTGAGGCCCGGGACTAGTTGTGAAGGTATCAGAACCAGGACTTGCATTTTACGGAGGAATGTATGCGGTTGTCCATTTCAGCTTTGTTCTTCGTGTCACGCTGATGGAATGTGCTTTCAGCCAGGAGACTTACCAATGGTTTTGCGAGGAACTCAGCGGAGGATGTGAAGATTTGGTATCGATCCTCAATCCAGGTGATCCTCAGGCCTGAAGATCTTACCTGACACCAGGAGCTCACTTCCGTGTGCCACGCTGCATATTCACTCCACTTCTGAGCTGTCCTCGAATGAGCTCCTTTTCAGCATGGGTGTTGGCTGAGGTCCTCGAGCCTTTGAAGTCTGGCTGCAAGCTAAAACTGGGCGCCTCCACCCGAAGCTACGAGGCGGTCCCTGAAGTCGGACTATCTGGTGCTCGCAAGTCAGAGCTTGACGATGGAGGTTATGAGAATCCAGGTGTCTTCAGGTCGGACTTGGAAGATAGATTCCCAACCTTGCAATGCAAACCACATCAAAAGAGTATTTTACAGAGTCTGATTGAGAAGAACACAGTGCTCTGAAAACGGACTTAACCAAGCAGGATTTTCCGAGTTCCAAGGTCTAGCAGAGTTGTGGCCATAGTTTCAATCTGCCACCAATGGGGTGGATAGACTCGGATAGACATGACCGTGCGTTCCGTTCCTAGTAGCTTCTTGTTACTAGTAGTAAGGCACTTGTTCCTAGTAGCTTCTTGTTTTTTTCTTTTTGATGAGGTGCGTGTGAACTTGCGCTCCCAGATCGAAGAGCTGGAACGGCAGCAGAGAGAACTCATGCGGGAGGTGCAGAGCATCGACCAGGAGCGCTCTTAGGTTCAACAGCTGGCCAGAGCCGTTTCATAGCACTCACGGCATGATAATGGGGTGACACGAAATGGAGGGTGATTCAGCTTGCTCTTGTGGATTATGCGGCGGGACTTCCAAAAGCATCACGCGAAGTACTTCATCACGTTTGGGCTACAGCCGCATTTGGACACCACCCTGAAAAACCCACCCTCTGCAAAACTTCCAACAGATTGTCAGGGTCCGCGCACTAAGGTCCACGTGAATGATGTGTGAATCCTGCCGTGGTGAGTGCTGAATTGGACTTGGTAGCGTCCGCCGTCGCTCAGAAAGCAGGACGCGGCAGACCCGGTGCAGGCCGCCAAGCGCTTGGCCAAGGAGGAAGCCACCTGTGTCCTGGAGGAAGTGTCCGGTGGAGATCAGTAGATATTTTTGCCTGTCTGCCCACTAATGCCCAGTCCCACCCGTGTGCACTCCAATTTTGCTGGGGTGGGGATAGCTCGAGGTAGAGTTTGAAGGGGTCCTGTCTTCAGAAGGGTGAAACGGGCAAGGCCAGAGCGACACAAGTGCTGACCCATGCCTACCGGCAGGGATTATGATGACATAAATCTTACATCCGGAGAAGGATTCCCCATGTGGCAAAGGCATTCCTTTCTACACTCCGCAGACTCTGCATGTGTTTGCATGCATCGTCTCACTTTAACTCTTTTGAACGGTATATAGGTTGTGTTTTTTTTGCTGAATCCCTCAATCAGACTTCGAGGCTTTGTTGGAGGCTTGGAATATGACACCGAGAAGGCGACAACCAGGGGTTCCTGGCTGGGGTGAATGCCGTGTGGAGCGCTAGAGGTGGTTGGAAATTTGACACTTTCCTCCAATGAACCCTCCTATGAGATCTGTCTCCCCAAGGGCTTTGATGCTTTTGCACGGAAAGGTGGATGAACGCTCTATGAACTCTCCCACCCGTTCAACCAGCATTCGAAAGATCAGTTATGTACCCTTGGGAGGAAATCTTGTTACATTCAGCCTGAGGCAATGTTTGCAAAGAAGCTACTAGGAACAAGTGCATCGCTAGTAGTAACAGGTGCCTTACTAGTAGTAACAAGAAGCTACTAGGAACAAGTGCATCGCTTCCACTCCCACTCCAGTCCTTCGATGACAGGCTGATTTGCTGGGTCTCTTCCAGGACTGCGGTCATGTTGAGGAGGCGAACCGTTGGGCAAATGTGGAGCTTGCTGGTGTAGACGAGTGTCCGGAGCGGCGACTGTACCTGGGAATGCTGTCCTTTAAACGGCTACTGATCTAAAATATCCAAAGACACCCTGTGGCTTTGGAGGATTTGTTTCAATCACAGCTCAGAAATTTCAAGCCCAGGCGCCAGTTTGGGACAGGTCGCAGCCCTTGTCAGGTGCGCTTCCCCGGACAACAAGAGGTTGGTGGCAAGGCAGTGAAGGCGGGTGGGACGAAGAGCTTCAGCTCGCTGTGGTTTTAAGATGAACCTGGAAATAGGACATAGAATTTAATTAGAGTAGGAACAAGTGCATCGCTACTAGTAACAAGTGCCTTACTACTAGGAACAAGAAGCTAGTAGAAACAATAAGTAAATAGAATTTAATTAGAGTAGGAACCTGGAAATAAGGAAAAAACACCGCTGTGTTTGTGATCGAGACCTCACAACTCCACGACCGGAGTTGACTGAGTTCCGCGCACTTCGAACAGCCTTCCTGATTCGAGTTGCTGCGGGCCAAGCCCTTGAGTTTGCAAAGTTGCGATATACTCATGATCGGGAATCCATCAGTGAGCATCAAGAAATCAACGCCTTTGTGCTGAATACTGAATATAGATACAACTCACAGCGTACTACTGGGGATAACATGCAGTGGCCCTTGGACAAGATAGCCCTGCAAAACTGACATATGCTGTCCAGCAACTTGCCAAACTTACCCAACTTTGAGTGTGTCCAGAAGGAAATTCGATGAAGACCCCTCAGTGGTTTGGAAACCACATTACCAAGTCGTTTTTCCTCCAGAAAAAGAGACCAGCATTCATCATGTTGAAGAACACATTGCAGTTGGGAGAAACCAATGGAACCCCATTCCTCGTGACAAGATGGTTGGCATTACCAGTCCGTGTACCGCACGCGGCACTCGGCTGAGGGCATCGCCTTTGTCGTGTTCGACTCTGCGATGGCTGCGCGGCGTGCGTGCGGCTTGTCGGGCGAAATGTTCAAGGCTGACATCAAACATGCTTGCGATGATGATTTATTGATGATGTATTGCGGTGGATTAGCAGTTGGGAATCGGATGGAATTGGTTCCTGTTGCTTTGATTCTCCTGAGTAATGGGCAGTTCTCTCATGGATTTGTTGATGTCTATAGAAAAGACATGAAACGAGATATTTTTTAAATCTCATCATAGTTATATATGCGAGCACCCCCTATCTATCTCGAGCTGTTGGAGTGCGGATCTGGCACCAGGGTCGGAAGCTCAAGGTGGCGCCGGCCACTGACCGTCCCAAGGGAGGAGTGGTGTTGCAAGCTTGGGATGGTGGGTGGATTCGGAGTCTGGCATGGACAGCTGCAGTCCTTTGATCCAAAGTGTGCTGAAATGTGTCGGTCGAAGATCATCATTTCATGCGCTAATCGCCGAAACTCGCTCCAGGAGGAAAAGGCGATGGAAAGGGCAAAGAAGCGAAGGGCGAGGAGGGTGGCCGCGGCCACGATACTGGCAGCCGCCAATTCCTGCGAGATATGCTGGATGGACTCTTGGCTCCTTTTGCTGAGTTTTGAAGCTCGATGCAGCCACTTGGACAGCTTTCTCCTTTTGAGTCTTCCTTGGACTGGGGGTCTTGCAGACTTTTACCAAATCTCGAAGATGGATTCGCTCCTTCCACAACTCCACACAGCACAGAACCTCCGAGGCAAATGGGAGCGTGGCGTCGCCCTCCCGTCCCTCTCCCCAGAGCGCCGCGAGCGCCCGCGCCGTGCCTCACCAGTGCGGCGCTCACCAGGGCGGCCCTCGCCACGGCCCTCGCCACGGCGCTCCCCCCCAAGGCGGTGCAGGGTGCTTGGGAAGACTTGAAAGATGAGGAATGAAGATTCGAAAAGAGGGAGACTTTAGATAAGAACTAGAAGGAAGACTTCTCAAAGAGACTTCAAGAAGGGAGGCTTCTCAAAAAGGTTTTGATCGGATCATACCTGACTTGATTGCAGGTACATATATACATCCAGAATTGTTTGAGCAACATGGTTTGTTCTGCTGTGCTAACATGTCCATCCTACAAACTGACGTTAAAGGGCGACGTCTCCTGAATGACTGCAATGGCGGAAGCACCAGATGAACTCAGTGCACAGCTTAAAAAATTCAGCTACGAATAATACAATATATCGGAGTCAATTCAATGTGGCGGTTCTTCCGTGTAATTCCCCAAGCAGTCTACTGTAGGGGTTCTCAATGCTTTCTAAGTGTGTCCGCCTTGTGTGGACTGCTGTGTCCGCCTCGCGGTGCCGGCCTCTGCCTTGCAATCCTTTACATGTGTCTCCCAGCTCTGGACTGCCGTGTCCGCCTCTTTGTCTCCCAGCTCTGGACCGCTGTGTCCGCTATGTGGGGGCGATCCAGTGCAGCATTGCTGGCTGGGTCACTGTAAGGTGCTGAACTCCCCTATGACACCTGCGTCCAGGTTGACATGCACAGTACAGGTCGAGGGGGCTGTGCATGCAGTGCCTTTGGTTCCTGGTAGGAATCTGCCTGTTTTGTACCTGTTTTGGTACTTGGTATTTGCTCTTCTGGCGTGCGTATGGAGTGATGGCGTCTGTTCGCGGTGTGTTGTGATCTCGGTGAGGTGATGGAGCTTGCGGTTCACATGATGTTTCGGCTTGCGACGCGTATACACTAATTCAAACCTTCCTTCAACCTTCTTCAGCTTGCTACATTTCATTCATTATGCCAGGCCTGTGCCGTTTACGGACACCAGGTGGAATCCCTGGGGTAGGCTTTTTGTTGCTTTTTTGCAACTGAACTTGGCCTGATGGCCTTTCACTTTCACTTTTACTTTACTAGTTGCTTGTGTAACTTTACTTGCGGTGATACACAGATGCGTGCTATGCAAAATTGTTATCCTGCTTAGTGCCGTGTGTGAGTATACGCGGGTTATGATGTTGAGTGCTTGCTGTTTGATCTTACGGTGTTTCTCCTTCCTGTGGTGTTCTTGGAGATATATCGGCGCCTACTTTTTTGTCCCACGATTTGCCTCCATGAATTTGTGGCATGTTTTCTTGGAATTTGCTTGTTGGACATTTGCACACTTACACTTGACTTTGATTGCTGTGCTTGTATGTTTGCCAGCTACTGGCTTTTGCAGACATCTGTGCACAGACCCGTGCAGCCATGTCGTGGCCACATTCGCATTATGGCCACTTTGGGACTGGATCTTTGAATCCTGGTTGGGCTGGCGCTGCTGCACACCAACATCTTGGCATGCACACTGCTCCTTTCCAAGCTCCTGTGCCTGGACCACCTCCTCCAGGGGCCCCGCCGGGGTTTTGTCAACCTTCTATAAGGCGGGGGCGGTCTAGATCGCGATCACCCCGCGGGAGGCGTGCATCTCACAGGCTTCCGCAGGCCAAGGACTTGAAAGGTGACATGGGAAAAGACGAGTTCAACAAGTTGGTCTTGGAATGTTTGCTCTTGCTTTCTCCCGAAGACTTTGCCGACATTTGGGTTGGCATTCCCCGTGAGCTTCGGGCAGTAGCATGGCGCCCCCCACCGGGCATCATTGTGGATATTGATTCTTTGAAGGGCGTTGACCGCATCCAGATGTGTTCCAAATTGAATGCCTTGAGACGGGAGAGATGCATCCAGCTGGCTTCTCCAAGGCAGCAGTCACACTTTGAGGACGAGAATTGGACCATCACTCCCATGTCGAGGCTTTGTTGTTCACGTTTTTGGGAGTGTTTTCGTTTGCTGCCGCTGACTACCACGAATGAATCCAAGTGGAAGGCAACTGTGAAGTACCTTTCCAAATGCCCAGAGAAAGCCGATTCCTCGGATACCTCACGGCACATTGATGCCAGCACTCGTGCCTCGGATTCACTTGGTGAAGCTGTTGCTCCTGACCGTGTGCCGGGGCCCAAGTTGGCAACTCCAAAGAAAGGCCTGGCAGGATTATCTGCTTTGGCTGATGCTACTCCACTGAAAGCTGGATTGGATGCCCCTCCGGCCGACCGTAACAGTGAGGAGTTCGCAACTTGGGTTTCTGCTAGGATTCAGGCTGATGTGGATGGTTTATCTTTGGATTCATTAGAGGTGAAGCATGCAAACCGCTTTCCTTGCAAGTTGAAGCCCAGTGCTGCTTTGAAGACCCTTCCTCCTTTGGATGTCATGAGCCCCATTTACCAGCACACATTTCAGTTCTACTTGCGCAAGTTCAAGGCTTTGCTGACGGATGTGAGCCTCGGATCGGCCCCAGCTAAGTCCTTGAAGCGCTTATGCGATGCATTGAACTTGGAGGTGCGGGGCAAAGACAGTCAAGTTCCAGAAGTGCTCGCCCCATTGCGGGCCACAGACATGGTACAATGTCCCCCGTGATGGGGTGAATGTGAGGACCAGGAGCACATAGCGTCGGCTTGTGGCGCTGCCCTGTGCTTGCTTGCACTGTTGCGATTTTGGTTCCTGGGACTCACTAAGGGAAAGATGGAAGCTGAGGAGATTATGCTTCGCATCTGTGCCAGTGTATGGCTCTGCATGCTTCAAGCGCAGTCATCCCGCAGGTCTTTACACCTGCTTAAATCTTTGGGTGGCTTGCCTTGGAATTTTTCATGGGAAACTTTGTGGCATGGCTCTGTCATCTATGTGTGTGTCCCGATGTTCCCACAATACTCTTCTTTTGGCCCCCTCGCCTACGTCGGTGAGACAGACAATTTTGCCAGACGTGTGAATGAGCATTCTTGTCGATTGCTTGCTCCCAATGGCGCTGTACAGCAACCCTTTTTCCATTTTGTGAGAGCGGGAGAGTGTGCTCCCCACCTCATGCGGCTGGCAATTTGTGAGTGGATCTTTTTCCGGTTGTCCCCGCACCTGGTGATGGTTGTGCGCGGAGAGCATTAGAGGCAGACTGGATTCGGAAGATCGGTGTATTGAACCCACCTCGGGTGCACCGCTTGCTTCGGAGCAATGGTGTGACTAGCAGGAGTTCACTGGTCTTTGGGAGAAACCGCCTGGTTTGCAGACTGAGGGCCAAGACGTTTCCTTCTCCGCAAATTGTGTGCGGGCAGAAGCTTGCTCATGATGCTTGGAAACAAGGGTTGCAGCGAACCGCTGCTGCGCTTGCAGGACATCGTTTTCCTGGCTGTGGACTGTGTGCTTTGGCTGCTTGGAGGTTGTCGAGGTCAGCTTGGGTGTATGTAGTGCAGCGTGTCACCAACAACGAGTCAGGGTGGCGCCGAGCACGGGCCTTGCGCGTGTTGCGTCGGATTGCTGGCATTCGAAGAGACTTGCCATCCCCCATCGCTGTCATTTCTTGTGACATTCCCTGGGTTGGGTCGCTGCAAGCTCGCAATTTGGCCGTGCACGCGGTGCGTTCTTTGGTGGCCTCATGGCGCAGGGCGGGTCATTGGTTACCTATTTTGAGGCATGCGCGGATTCGTTTCTGGTGGGCAACTACGCCCTCTCTTGGTAGCGTTCTTTGCAGCCGTGACTTCTTTGCAGACTTTGCAATGGTGAGGCCGCCTTGTGTTTGTCGGGAGTTCCTGCTGGCAGACCCCACCTGCCCCACGGTGACCGTGGATGGTCAAGTGCACATTGCTGCATCCCAGGCTCGGATTCCATGGCCACGGCACTTGCGGAAGTTCAGAGAATTACCAGCCAACTTGCGTTTGCCACCGAGGCGGCAGCAGATCGCAGTTGCTGTGAAGCAAATGCTTCGTCGACTGCGGGACCGTTGCAAGCTGGCGGATGAGCCATGTTGGGTCGAATCCGTTGTTGCCGATTTGACTGCAGCTTTGCAAGGGCTAGCTGCTCAGCACTCTACCAGATTTCCTGTTTCGTGGCTGGAGATTTCACTGGCCCGGGAATTCCTCAGGCCTTTCTTCACGCAGGTCTTTGACCACAACCTGTCCCGTATTGGTGTGTTTTGTCCTGCCCTAGTACACGTCCAAGCTTGTGCAGCTCTTGATCTTGGTGATCATGGCACGGGGCTGGATTTTGCTTGGGAAGCTGATACGCGGAGGGCTGAAGTGATGGCTACCATGGCAAAGATTGAGGGCCTCCCGCCGCACTTGCAACCAACGCGGCTGTCCTTGGTACCAGCCAGATCTTGGTCTATCGGAACTCCCGTTTTTCTTCCAAAGTGGAAGGGTCCAGGAGTGAAGTGGCGCCTGATAGTGAACAAGCACCACGCGCCGGCGACTGGTTTGCACTCGGCTATATCTAGAGCCATTGATGTTGTTCTGGACAATATGCCCCGCGAGGCTTGGTCCGATTTTCCATCAGCCAATGCCTTCTTGGGCATGGTCTCGGACTTCAACGCTCTTGTGAAGAGCATGTTCATGGAGCCGCGTGGGTGGATTGCAGCGATGGACATGGTTGATTGTTTCCATCACCTTCCTTGCTCCGAAGCGCCGTCTATTTGGGATGCTCTTTCTGCCTTTTGGAGCGCCCGACATGTGGCTTACATCAGTGTGCCTTTACGAAGGGGCGGCGGTGCTGGTCGCCTTGGTCTGGTCTGTGACGCTGGCTGGGTTTGCTTTTCCTTCGCAGAGATTCGGGAGGTGTTGATGCACTTTACCTTGACCAACTTTGTGGCTCTGCCCGGCCTCCTCGGGCGTGAGCTGCGTGGGGCTCCAATGGGCGATGCTTTGAGTGGGGCAGTGCTGCGGCTCTTCAAGTGGAGTAGGGAGGCTGCGCAACTACCTGTTGAGGAGGCAGACACTGTTTGTTTCCGCAGGTCCTGCTCAAAGCTGGTCCATCTCTGTGGTTGCAACATGTTGGTCCTTGACGTCAGTTTCCGGGACGACTTGCGCATGTTTTGCGTGTGGGACGGGCAAGCCATCATTGATAGGGAAAGGGTGGCGCAATGGGCTATCTCCAGGCTGCGCGCCCGATACCACTACGGGTCCATGAGCTTGGAAGAGTGTGAGTTTCGGACATTCATTGGTTTGCGGACGGAGTTTGGAGATGAGGGCCTTTTTGTTGCCCCTGTCTTCCCTGACCCGTTCGGAAGCTGTAGCTACCACACGGTCGACTTGCGAATTTTGCAGCCATGGTCATCGTGGACCCCCCGTTCACAAAAGACGGCGGTCATTAAGGGATGGCTGTGCCGCATCTTTCATTTGTCCAGCTGCTCCGAGGGCAGGGCTCTTGCCTTTGAAGAGACTTTTTTGTCTTTATGTTCTTTGGCTGGATTCCCTAAAGACCTGCTTGCCAGGGTGACCAGAGATTGGATCCTTCGCTGGGTATCCGCAAAGGATGCCCGTGCAGTACAGTGCGTAAGACTTGAGGTGGAGAGGGCATTGTGGCGATTGCGTTAGAAAGTTTGCCGTCACTCATTTCACTTGCTCTTACTTGCTGTTTCTTGCTGTGCACCCCTATGGGTGCTATGTGGGGGCGATCCAGTGCAGCATTGCTGGCTGGGTCACTGTAAGGTGCTGAACTCCCCTATGACACCTGCGTCCAGGTTGACATGCACAGTACAGGTCGAGGGGGCTGTGCATGCAGTGCCTTTGGTTCCTGGTAGGAATCTGCCTGTTTTGTACCTGTTTTGGTACTTGGTATTTGCTCTTCTGGCGTGCGTATGGAGTGATGGCGTCTGTTCGCGGTGTGTTGTGATCTCGGTGAGGTGATGGAGCTTGCGGTTCACATGATGTTTCGGCTTGCGACGCGTAAACACTAATTCAAACCTTCCTTCAACCTTCTTCAGCTGGCTACATTTCATTCATTCATCCTTTACATGTGTCTCCCAGCTCTGGACCGCTGTGTCCGCCTCTGCCTTGCAATCCT